TCCTGGTATTCAGTAGCCAAATTAGGTCCCGACTAATTCAGAATCGAGCCGCATCGAATCTCATAAAGGGGGAAGCTCTCTCAATACCTGTTTCTCCATTCATAATACTCAAACTTGAGATTTCGCTTAAAAAGAATTGAATTTTTTTCACTTAGACCACCAGATCGTTAGTAATATGTAAACTAATTTTAATCTATTAAATAATTAATATATACTATTTTGTCATCTATCAATTAACAATTATAATTATAAATTATTTTTAACAAGTAAATCAAACAAAATCAGTATTTTAAAATACAATATTTAAAAATTTGTGTGATCATAACATTTTGATGTCTGGTCATAATCTTGTTTGTTAACATGTACATTAAAGTGCACTTTAATGTAGGAAGTTTTATTGGTTTTTTAGATCTAGTTTGTGCACACGTAACCCCATATGGCACTAGAAAACCTATATTTTAACTATCAAAAATAGAAATAGAAGATTTGGAAAATAGCATTATCAATTGCCTAAGATGAAAAGAAAATTAAGAAAGTAAGGGACATGTGGTTGATTATGCATTAAAATGTAATTTTCTTGTATTATGTGATACCTATGTAGTGCTATGTAGTTATTTTAATGGAGTTATGTTAGGACTAACAGAATTTCAGCAGATGGAATAGAACATTTAAGAGTAGGGATCCATTAAATATTTATTTAAGGTTTTAAATGAATATTAAATTATTCAATGAGTATTTATTTTAAATGACTAAAAAGAAACAAGAAAAAAGATGTGAAAATAAAGATTTAAAAATTCTTTATTTTATTAAAAGTAAAAAAAAAAAAAAAAACCTTATTTTTATAAATTACTTTTAGTTTAATTTGATAACTACTAATTCTAATTTTCCGGTTTCACTTTAAAACAAAGGACAACGTTACAAAATTGGTAGGCGGTTGTTGGTGGGAATGCAATGGGCAAGTGCTCCTAGCACTGCTCTTTAAAATTAAGAACAACGTGGCAAAATTTGGGATTCTTTTTTATTATTATTTTAATTTATTATTATTTAATTTACTTGCATAATTTTATGGTGATGTCTTTTTCCATCAATTCACCTTAATGTGACTCAAATTCTTAATAAATGGTATTAAAATTAAAGAGGGAAATTTAATTTCCAACAGCAGATTACACAATCCAGCGCAATGACAATATATTGCATAAATATGTGAAGAAAACAAAAGCATAAAAAACATGGAGTAAAATTTTGCTATATAGATAACCTTAAGATAATGGTGTTCTTTAGTATGGATAATATTTTTTTTATAGAATTTGAGTGTTAAAATTATTAATATATTATTAATAAGTAAATATGAAGAGTCGTTTTATTAAAAATATTTTAATAATTTTAATATTTAAATTATAAAAAGGTACATTTATACTAAAAAATATCGGTATGTAAACTTAATGAAATAGAAATAAGATTAATATAATCAAAAGTACACAAAACATTTATATGGTAACAACAATAAAAAATTAAAAACATTTATTACCATATCTTTTCCCTCGAAATCGATCAATTGGTCTTAACCTTCTTAAATTCAGATTTGGGCACTGTAGTTCTCTCCCTCCCAAAAAACTCCTGGTAGAAAATTTAGTAACAAAAATAATTACAGTAGATAATAAACTAATTTTTTTATATAAACAAAAAAAAGTCAGACCTTAAAATACAAATTTGAGCCTTGAGTATATATTCTTGTTCGAATCTATTGAGTGGAGTGGGGTCAAATTCCACCTCGAGTTATATAATTTTGTTATATATTACTTTTTCACTACTAATTTAATTAGTTAAATTTTATATTGGGTCTATTAATTATTAATAAATTATTATTTTAATTTAAAAAATTTAGTTTGTTTTTCTAACAAGATTTCTTATATGTTGGTGCATACGTAGCACAATATTATAAACCCCATATGCCTCTAAACAATTACATTTTAATAACCAGAAATGGTGATAGAAAAATTGGAAAAGAGCATTATCAATTGTCCAAGATGAGAAGAAAACTAAGAAAGTAAGCGGTGTGAGGTCGATTATGCAATAAAATGTAATTTTTTTGTGTTATGTCATGTCTCTGTAGTCTCATGTAGGTGCTTACTTGGAATTCTGCTAAGAAAACTAACATAATTTTGTTAGATATAACATTTTAATATTTTGACAGTACCAATACTATCTATTTAAGTTATGTGGATGTTGGAGTTACGTTAAGAAAAATATGGTCTTAATTAAAAGTTGAGCATTACTCCAACAACAGCTCAATCTTATCAATTTAAACCTCAAATTTCCTCCAAATTGATGAACCTAATCTAAGAGAATTATAAAAATTAACAGTACCAAAATGCACTGATCCATATATAACGAGATATTTTAAAAAAAAGAGCAAAGAATCAAAGCTATGTGTAGCCAAAGAATACTCACCAATTGGCAGAAGCAGAAGAATGAATTAAGGAAAAAGGTTTGCTGCTAGAGGATGAGTAGAGAATTAGTCATATGATATCATATAGGAGATCATGCAGGAATTAATATATATAGAGACCAAAACACTACTATTATGCATTCTTTGCTTCTTTTGCCGGTAAAGGGAGGCATAGAAGCATATATATCTTTATTTTAGGTGTTACATGCCGTTGATTTTTAGTGTATGACTGGAGAAAGTGGAAGTGTAAAGAGCATGAGAAGACTATTAAGGGTTACATTACTACTTTGTGGTAATTTTTAAAGTTCAAAAACAGATTTGGTAAAAATATAAAAGTTGAGGGACTAAATTGATATTTTCACCAATATTAATTGCAATCTGAGTTACATATAAGGTTGCACTACATGTAACTACTGTAGCAAGTTCCGTGTTCTCTTTGCCATCAAATTGCCAGCAAAGAAAGGCATTTAGGTTTTTTTTTTTATTTTTTTATTTAGAAATAATTAGTACACATTAGGTTTAAAACACTTTTTAACATTTCTCCTAATTTAATTATTAAAATATAATATAAATATAATCAATTCATACACTTTGTATATATGATTTAATCTTTAAATTTGTTTATTTTTAATTTTAGACCAAAAAATAATTATTTTTTATGAATATATTGT